ATGAAACTTACCGAGGATGCCTCCAGCAAACCCTTATTTAGGGAGTTGAGTAAAAGGGAAAGAGGGCAGCATTATCAAATTTTTAAAAAGTGGTTTTTTGGGGTTTTTTTTGTCAGAAATAAATTTGTCCCACAGCATAGCTGGCAAGAACTTTGTAAATCTAGGCCTGTAAAAGGAAAGGCTTAAAGCACCCTCAGGATAAACTGCTTGGGGGGTGCTCATCTGTCAGGAATTCCAATGGTCAGTTAGAAACTTGAATGGGCAGACTTTATTTTGAATCATAGATCCAACAACCTCCTCTGCAGGCTGCCTGGAAGATTCAGGGACTCACTTTTTTTAAGTAAAGGCGAAGAGGACAAGCTCTTTCAACCTTTGAAATCAAGGGGCTACAGAAAGGCAGGATGGAAAGGAGAGAGGTTTACAATTCAAGGTAGTTATACGTAGGAAGGTCATACAGAGGAAGAACTAATATGAATCAGATTGGCCTGCAGAGCTCACAAATGAGAATAAAACAAAACCAGTGTCCTCACACTGTGTATCTACCTCTTGATCTCTCAGAACCTCCATTTTTCTCATCTTTAAAATGAAAATATCTACTTGAGTTTTTGCCAGAATTAAAGAAGTCTATACATAAAACTCATGCAATGTATTTCCTAGCACATTAAGGAACTTAGTAAATGATAGTACTCCTCTGCTTCCAACCCCTAGCAGACGGAGGAAAGGACTTGTTAAGGAGGTACACTAGGAGGCACTGAACCTAACTAGTATCTTTGTGAGGAGTCAGGGGATGCAGGGTCTTGAGAGTCAGAAGGTGCTAATGCAGCATGAAGAAATGATATCCTGCAGCTGTGCTATTCTCCCAGTTGGGAGTGTCTCCACAGAAGGAGAGGGTCCCTCAGACCATTGTGTTAGAATCAAGCCTGCCTTTCCTGAAAAAGAAAGTTGATTTTCTGTTTTCTTTTAAATGTACATATTTGACACACTTATCATATGTAGTGATCCCTCACTATCTGCGGGGGATTGGTTCCAGGACTCCACACAGATGCCAAAAGCCACAGATGCTAAGGTTCTTGATATAAAATAATGTAGTATTTGCATATAACCTATGCTCATTCTTCCATATACTTTAAATCATCTGTAGATTACTTAAAATGCCCATCACAATGTATATGCTGTGTAAAGTGTTGTTATACTGTATTATTTTGTTGCTGTATTTAAAATTATTTTTAATTGTTCAATTATTTTCCACCCATGATTGGTTGAATCCATGGATGAGGAACCCACAAGTATGGAGAATCAACTGTATTTAAAAATAAACTAAAAGGTAGAAGAACACATTCACAATTTTGTCCCTCAATTTTTACCTCTTTTTCCATTTTCCTGTTTGCTAGATTCAATAAGAACCCAAGAAGAGAGAAGTTTTGAAGGGAGAACAGGTGGCGACAAGTGGAAAAGAGAGGGAGTGTTAGTCCCCTTGGTCCATAAAAGGTGAATGTGGACTGCAGCTCAGGATTTGGCCGTGGTCACTGGTCCCAGTTACCAGGAAGAAGATGGTGGGTATTTTCACCATCCTCAGTTCAACTCACTTCCTTGATCCCTGCCTCTGCTTGCTTGATTCCTGGTTCCCTGGAAGGAAAATGCCTATGTCAATGAAAGCATTATGGAAGGTTCTGGATTTAGGTGGAATTGGAGGAGAAGAACAGAAAGTTTTCATGAACCAGTGCAGGAGGAAACTGACTCCTCTCTCTCATCTGGAGAGTGAGTTGGGGGAGGTAGGCACTTCAAGGGAGAAGAAAATCAGGGCCCCCATCTAGAAGCTGTTCTGTAAACCATAGCTCCTTTCACTTGACCTTCCTTATCTTTTCTGGCTCTGACACCCCACCCAGAAAGTTGGAGAAACCTCACTTGGAAAGTGAGACAGATACCAGCTCTCTGGTCCCAGTGTAAGAGAAGAAAGTTGTATGAAAGGAGGAGAAAGGAAAAAACGAAACATCACATTGTGCAACAGGGGAAGTCCCACATTGCCACACTTCGAGGATTCCATGCTGTCACTTGTAATTCCTGGTTGAAACATTTCTCCACGAGGCTGTCCAGGCCTCCTGCTGCCTTTCCTGGTGACCCTGCCTCTGTGGAACTGAGTTCCTCCTGTCAATATGCTGAGGGGCGAGGAGGTGTGGGGAAAGGACTCCATCGTGAGGGAAGAGACCCAGAGTCCAGCACTAGCCCTACCCTCTCACTAATAATAGACAGAGACAGACCATGGCTCTGCTCTGGGCTGCATCTGACAATGAGAGGATGGACTCTTTTCCAGACAGGAATCCAAGACCCCTCAGAATACCATCGGAGTCTCAAGAAGAGGTACATTTTCTAAGGGCTTGTCCCCTCGGTCAAGCCTCCACCCCCATACTTAGCCACTGAAGCAGAATCTCCTCCTGAGATGAGATGCCTCTCCTCGTCATAGTCCATCTCCTTGGAATGTTTCCAGCTCACCCTGGGTTTCTCCTGCAGAGAAAGTTTGGCCTGCCCTCTAGAATGTTTCATTCCTGTCTGCACTTATCTGTAGGGGGTCACTATCAGTGACTCTTCAGTTGGTGGTTATATTCATTTCCTATTGCTGCTGTAAATAAAATTACCACAAATTTGGCGTCTTAAAACAACACACATTTGTTCTTTTAAAGTTCTGGTGGTCAGAAGTCCGAAGTCAGTTCCCCTAGGCTGTACCCCTTCTAGGGGGAAAATGATTTCTTTGCCTATTCTTGCTCCTAGAACTGTGTCTAACGTTCCTTGGATTGTGGCCTCTTCCTCCATCTTCAAAGCTAGCAGCCTAGCCTCTTGCTTCAGTAGTTATATTGCCACTTTCTCTTCTATCATCATATTTCCTTCTGCCTTTCTACTGTAAGGATACTTGTAGCTACATTTAGGGCCTGACCAGATGATCCAGGACAGTCTCCATATCAACTTCCTTAACTTGACCATATCTCCAAAGTCACTTTTGCTACTTAAAGTAACAGTCACAAGTGTTCTGGGGATGACAATGTGTACATCTTGAGGATCGTTATTCAGATACCATAGTGATCTATACCTTGTCTCAGATCTGGAGATCATCCGTTCTCTCTCCAAGCCCCCCTCAGAATAGAATTGTGTATCTTTCTCCAAATACACACCCTAACCTTTCAGAACATCCCAACTCCCCCTCCCTTTGCTTTCTTTAGGCCCTGAGAGTGTTCTTGGATAGTGCCATCTGATGTAACTTTCTACAATGATGAACAGTTCTGTATCTGTGCGGTCCAACACGGTAGCCACTGGCCACATAGGGTTACTGAGCACTTGAAATGTAACTAGGTGACTGAGGCACTGAATTTTAAATTTTATTTAATTTTGATGAAATTTAATTGAAATTTAAATAGCCACTCTGGCCAGTGACTATCATGTTGGACGAAAGCAGAAGCTAAGGCCAGACAGGTTCTTTGCTGCTACTCCTCCTCACATCTGTTCTGGATCATCTCTGCCCCCAACCTCCTTCTCTCAGGCCCTACAGAATCTGAAGGGGGTTTCCGCCAGGGCTCTGGACTGATCGGGGTAGCTAAGGGCAGGACAAAGAAGGGAATTTTATCTACTGGCCCCAAAGAAGCACAGGGCCTCAATTCTGCTTTTGCTTAGGACTAAGAACACTCCCATAACTTTTAAGGTAACCTTTACCTTATCCTTCCCACTCAATGGGTCTCCCTTTTGGGGACCACACAGGTTTGTCACTAGGGCAGGTACACAGGAAAAGGACACTAGCATGAGAGTTGGCACGGGCCAGAGTTCTGCTCTGCCACACACTTGCTGAGCGGCTTTTGGCAAGTTTCCATCAAATGAGAGACTTGAACCAGATGTTCTTTTTAAAAAAAAATAATTTTATTTTAAAAATGTGGGGTACAAATGAGGGTTAGGTACATACATAGTCATCATACAGGTAACATGTGGGTACCCTTATTTGATGTTATGAGCCCCCCGCCCCCGGCTGTGTCCCGCTACTGCCAATACCAGGATCAGATATTCTAAAGGCTCCTCCTAGCTTTAGTAGACTATAAACCTGTGTCCCATGGATTGGGCTTTATTGTGCATGTAATTCTATTTCCGACCCATGTAATAGGAAGTTCTGTTTGGAGATTTAAGTCATCATGGCTTTAGGTTACTCCTGTAATACTTTCAAAGCAAATCAGACATTTATCCTTCTGTCCTCATGAGAACACTTTACCTTTGGGCTTTAGAGTGTTGATCCATTAACAAACTCATCTGATCCTCGTGACAATCCTGATAGATACTATGCCCATTTTAAGTGAAAAAGTTGAGGCTCAGAGAGGGAAGGAGAGAAGCTTCCAGGGGTATGGATCCCTATGAGTGCTTTACACAACACCTAATAAGAGTTCCTTCAAAGTGGTTAATATTTTCCCCATTTTACAAGTATAAAAACTGAGGTCCAGTAAGGCAAGATGACTTTCCTAATGTTATGTTGATAAAAAAGATGATGAAATCAATTTTCTGACCCTGAATTACTTTCTCTTCCCTCTATACTGTGCTGTTACCCCAAGTTATAACTTCTCCAAAGATGTTGAAATGCCAAACTTCAGTATCACAGTTATCCTCTTGGATCAGTCTTTCATGATGCTCTTCAAGCAGACCTACAAGCCTCAGCAAATCACTTCACCTCTCTGTACCTTTGTTTCCTTATCTGTGAAGTTGGAGGCAATAACTCTATTTCATAAGGGTGTTAAATCCTTGTTAAAAGTATCATATGAGATCATGTATTGAGAGTGTTTAGTCCACAGTACATACTAAGGACCCAGAATTGTTTATACTTACTGCTTTTAGAAACTATAATCTATCCCTCTTAAAAGTACTAGGTAATTCCTTTCACCCCAAATCAAATTAAAATCACAAAGAAACTGTCTACATTTTTAAACAAGTTTTATTATGAAAACACACAAAGTCAACTGCATTATCCATGTATCTGTAACAGCATTGATGGTGGACCATCCCCATGGGGGACACGTATCCTTTGGCAAAACAAACATAAATAATGGAAATAACACAAAATACAATAACACAGCACATGATAAAGATTAAATTAAGATAAGGGACAGGAACTATGGGGAGGAGTGGTGAGGTTAGAGAAGACGTGTCTCACTGAGAAGAATCAGGGCTTAAGTGACCCTCTCTGAAGACTTCTTGGCCAGAGCCTAGAGCTCAGTTCAGTTCCAAGTCATACACGTATTCCTGGACCCAGGGCTCACTGGGGTTGGCGCAGACTTGTTTGCCCTTTTTGGTTTGGAATCTGTAGAACAAGGAATGGACAGATTAGAATCCCTTAGGACTTTTGAAGTCATCTGGCACTATCCCTTGTCTGTGGTAGGCATCGTCCTCTTCTTGACTGTGGTCCATGTGGGGCAGTGGGATCCATTCTAGGGCAGTGCTGGAACCAGAGTCCCTGCAACTTACACCCACTGGATTTAGCTGTGGTCCCAGGGGTTGGAACCCCAGATTAGAGACCACTCGGTATTGAATCAACATGAATAGATCTCCCCATTCCCTATAGCCCCTAGCAATGACTTTCATATGTTCTTTCTAGCATGGTTTAGAAAATCAGCTAATGTCTCATGTGACCTTTTTAGGTTTTCCTGGTTTCCTTGCCTCCGGGTAACTTCCTTTCCAGTACCCACTTCCCCTCCTTTGGCTCCCACTCAACCACCTCAGCACTTGAAAGTGACTTCATGACCTGTGTTCTCACTGCTCTCTGGGAGGGCTTTAGCCCTGAGAATTGCCTCTTCGCTGTTTGATTACCCCCTACCCCAAGTTGGCCCCCTTTTAAATCCTGCCCTCACTCTTGCCTCCCAGAGCAGTCCAGGGTTGATACTCACACCACGGCTGGCTGGGAGCAGAGGCTGCTGGTCTCGAAGTAATCTACCACAAAGTTGCGAGGAAGCTTCCGCAGGGTGTAAGAGAAACAGCAGGCGGTAGGAGGGTCTGAGCCCACTGGAAGAAAAGACCAGGATGAGATCAAAGCTCTACTGTTCATTTTGCCTTTTAGTTATAGATATTCATTGAGCATCCCTATGGAGCTACCAGAGTTCCACACATGACCCCTTGGATCCATTTCCACCAACCCTCAGTGGGAGTCTTACTCTGAATACAGGATCCTCAGAGAAGAACAAGAATTCTAGAATGTGGGAACTGGATTGAGTCTCAGAACATGTCTCACTACCTTCATATTACAGATGGGGAAACAAAGGCACAAAAAGGCCAATTCTATAGCCTGACTTCTAGTCTATCCTTTTTTCTCTACTGGTTGCTAATTCTCAATAAAACAAAAACTTTAATGTTGTTGTATGTCTACTAGACCCTACAGTTAACAGCAGAGTACTTGAAAATCTTCCCAGCTCCTTTTTATCTCATCCACAGATCCCACTGTTGGACCAGCCCCAACCAGAAAAGTGAACTCTGTCTATACTTAACTCCAGAAGCAGCAGCTGAAAGAGTAGACTTACTTGGTGCTGAGAGTGCCGGCGAGCAGAAGGTGGCCACTAGAATGAGGAGAGAGACAACAGCCACACACTTCATGGTCTTGGTGGAGGAGAAGTTTTCCAAGAGCTGAGGCTATAGCAATCAGAAGCTTCAGAACCCAACTGTGTCCTGTGCTGAGACTGAGTTGGAAACCTCTCTTTATAGGGACTCTGAGGCCAGGGACAACCATGGTGGCACAAGAGGGTGAACGGAATTTCCAGGGTAGAGATGATGTCATGGCTCCTATAAGGAAACTGAAGCTGGCGGAGAGTGAGGAGTTTCTCTCAGCTTCTGTTCCCCAGGGTGATGTCATCACAGAGGAAAGAGGGGGGAGGTGTAGGGGAGAATAAGTGGGCTGCACTCTAGAGGGAAGTGATACAACGAGACAGTGACTGAGACTGAGGAAAGAGTTGTAAACCTCAGAGGAAACGATAAGACATTCATACCTG